CAAGTTTACAAAATTTTGGCCATAAATTTAAAAAAATCTAAATAATTTGCAAATATGAATTATTACCGGATTCTGCCGTAAATTTGCCCAGGGCCATTAAATGGCAGTTCGGGTTTTAAAAAAAATAAAATGGGACCGGCAGTTTTTTAAGGTGTTATTTTAATCTTTTCTGATGCCTATAAGTTTTGCCATAGTCATTGACGCCTATTCAAGAGTATTGATGTTTATAGCGACTAGCATGAATGGTTAGGCTTTGTTTCGACAATTAGCTGTTATCGATGTAAACAATGTTAAATTATTATTCAAATGCTCAGTTTATCTTTTGAAAACAACTACCCGGTATTTTTTTTTTATTTAAAAACAAATCATGCCGCTTTCCCATCAAAATCCAAGTCAAAAGATCGTACAACAACATCGGCAAATCTCTTCCATGCTGCGTTCAACACCATTAACATATTTAAATGAGCTATGGTAATATAAACATGTTGGCATCATCCATCGTTTTCATTGACCTGGCAGGTCAAAGAACACTGTCCCAGGTCAAAACATGGCGGATATTTATTTCTACAGCATCGAGCGTTAAAAATGTGATCGGAATCATTCGATTACGATGAAATAAGTTGAAATTTATTTGCATTTCATAACAATTCAACGAATTTATTTTTTGCACATTATTATAATCATTACTAGGTAATAATCAACAGTTGTGAAACGCAGCATGACCGGATTGCGCTACCGTGATCATTTGCTACTAAGCAATGCAGTTGGGTTCGTTCTTATTTGAAACTTCTTTTAGAATATACTTTTGTTACTAATAAAATGAAACAAATTAATTGTATTTGCTGCACGAGGTTCGTTAATGTGATTTATTTGGAGAAAGATCTACTTTTTAATCCAGCATAAAAAAATGTATTAGGTTAGCTTCTGCAATAGTTTCTTTCGTTTTGGGTGGTCCAACTGCCGGCGTTGAAAATCGGCGTAGGTGGATTTTTCAATGAAAATATAATCCCCCTAAAAATATTTGATGATCATTTTTTGAAAATTTGAACCCCAAATAAGGGCCTACCAGCCGTGAAACCTCCCAGGGTGATTTTTCGGATGGGCGAATTTATGGCAGAATCCAGTTTTATCCGTCCATGAAACCTCATACATATTCATATTCAAGTGTTATGATCACCTTCGTTTGAAAAATGTGTGTCATATTCACGTCACGTTTGAACAGAAGAATGGACTGCTTTATCTCACTGAAATACGACTACAAGCAGGAAACGATGCATAAACATCATTTTCCATCAGTACTGAACTGCAGCAATCTATGCTACATGTGTTGGTTGATCACCATACTGATTTTGCACATACAGAGGTATTCCTATAAATAATTTGTTTTTCTAACTTGCTGGCACAGAACAATGGTTTTTCCCACTCCAGACAAATTTATATTGCAGTAGGAGAAAGACAATGTTTTAGAATTGAGAAATTTCAAAAAAATTTGTTTAACTGATTTAATTTTAATACAATCCTATAATATATATGTCAAGTCGATTCGTGAGCTAGTTTGCCAATTTGCCATCCCAATACTTCTGAGACTTGCTTTGCATACTATTATAAAATAAATACAGTGGGTGTGGGAGATAATAATACTTACCGGCCATCAAGTCGATAAGTTGTGAAACCAAATAATGGAACATTGGTAGATCTTTATTTTTCACAAGTTGAAATAATGATATAATGATATCAAGCAGCTTCTCATGAACAACAGTACATCCATCATCACTTAGTAGTCTCAATAACTGACAAGTCACCCATGTAGTTAAACCTGAAGAACAAAATCATCAAAATTAAAATATAATATAATAATAAAAATAAACAAGCAGCCTGTCGATTGAGATAGCTCTGCTGTTAGCAATGCACATTTCAATAAAGAACTGAAGATATCATTAGAAAATGAACAATAGGTATAGTATCATAGCAATCAGACTTGCTGTTTTTAACAAGAATTCACTTTTCACAAAAAATGACAAAATTATTCATTAAAATTAGAGAATTGAAGACATCATCATGAAATGAACAAAATTACAAAAATATTCACCAAAATAAGAGAATTAAAGATATCCTCACAAAATGAACAAATCTGAGAGATGTACACATGTACTGGTAGTACCTATATATGTAATATCAAAGCAATCAGACTTGCGGTTTTTAACAAGAAGTCGAAAATATCACTTTTTACCAAAAATGACAAAAATATTCATCAAAATTAGAGAATTAAAGATATCATCTCGAAATGAACAAATCTGAGAGAGGTCCACATGTAGTACCTACATGTATATATGTAATATCAAAGTAATCGGACTTGCGTGTTTCTTTTACAAGAAGTCGAAAATATCACTTTTTACCAAAAATGACAAAAATATTCATCAAAATTAGAGAATTAAAGATATCATCTCGAAATGAACAAATCTGAGAGAGGTCCACATGTAGTACCTACATGTATATATGTAATATCAAAGTAATCGGACTTGCGTGTTTCTTTTACAAGAAGTAGAAAATATCACTTTTTAAAAATATTCACCAAAAATAGAGAATTTGAGATTTTGACAAGAAATGAACAAATTTGAGAAAAAAACATACAAGGTACTTGCATATCAAATTTGAAACATTCTGACTTCTGGTTTCGTAGATGAAGTTGAAATTGTCAAGTTGATGACGATGGACAATCAGTAATATGAACAGCTCCGCTGTGTCAACTTTGTCGACAGCGGAGCTAAAAATGCAACTTAGAATAGCTGTGGGTATACGCTCATGCAAGGTTTATACATGTATGTCTTTTATTAGAGATGTACTTCTAATAGAGCAAATACGCAAGACAGAGATTGGTAATATAGAATATTGTTGCCACACCCAAAAAACAAACACCCCATTTCACTCCCATGCAGATGTTGCCCTGGACCGATATCAAACACACATTAAATATAGGACTACCACCATATAAACGTACAAAAGTAAAATGACATACATTTGGTCAGTAATATCATTATGCATACAAAACAAGCCTTTTATCAAATTCTTCATACTAACTTCACAGATATAATCAGGGCACAAAATCGACAGAATACGCGGCAACATTGAAGTGTCTACAACTTTAGACAAGCTCAAACTGAGAAAATCCTTTTTAGAATTTTGAGATATGTGTACATCATACATAGGTGGCCTATAGAGGGCAGCAGACAGCATGTGATGATACTTACCTTGGCATATGTAATACTCTGCATCTTGTGGAAGAGTGAGATTTCTACAGAGTTGAGATAAACCTGGCGTATCATCAGTGATTTGAGGTGAGCCACTTGAAAATATCGCCGGGAACTGTGATGTGCAGAGTGCCAGGAGATCAATAATCACCATACAGTGGGGAGTACCTCCTGTACCTGTGGCTTTACTGATTTCAAAATACACTAGAAAAATAGACAAATATTCAAGACAACCTATGAACATCTACAATGGTTTGAAACACAGCACATTTTGCTTGGCATACAAAAGATAATAAAATAAATGAGATTAATTTCCCAATATATGGAGGCAGCCATCTTGATTACAGCCCAAAACTAAATAAAGACTAATTGAGAAATAGGTTTTTCAGATTCCTACTAATGAGGAAAAAAATACGAAATTTTCACAGCCTAACGATCTATTTAGGCAACATTAAGCCAATTACTAGGAAAATATGAATGAATTCACATTTTCTGTGTAGAAAAATCTCTTGCATGTGAACACGTAATTACAAGAAGAACATAGAACACTTTCCAGGTGTTTTTGTAACTGAAATCATCATCCAACTGTAAGGCTGTTGCTGACTGGCTACTGAGTTCACTTACCTTTATCAAGATTAATCAAATGTTCATTGATAAAACGACATAGAATCTGTCTGGCTATTCTGATGTCATCTGAGTGCCTCTGTTGTGTGCTGAAAAAAAGAAATCATGCCAATTTAAATGTGATACAGGTTGTATATCATTTACAACAGACACTTAAAGCGACACTATTCTATGTAAGAACTGGGCATAGTCGTAAGGGGAGGGGCTAACAAAACAATAAATATTTACATATTGATAGTAACCATTTTTTAGCAAACTACTAAAAGTACTGGTAGTCACATATATATAGATGAAAAAGAAAATTCAAAGTTATGAGTCAAGTTTGGTCACAGTTAAAGTTGAAACTAGTTTTATGACTGTGAGAAAAGTTTATTGTGTTTCAATGAGCTGTTTGTAAAGCTGTACACATAGTATGTGTGATGGACATGTAGGCAAAGACCAACTAGTGATTAGCAATCAAAAGCGCACATGAAGTTCTGACTTTTTTTAAAGAACTTTGATTTTGATAACTGTTTTCTGATAAATATTTCATGAAGGTGTGAATTAGTTTTATATAAAATATTTATATAAATGTTTTAAAATAACAAAATCAGAATTCTTAGCAGATGAATATCGCCTGAATAGGACTCCACTGTCGTCAGTTAACTTTAACATCTAACTCAAAACTGACTACCGGTAGCTTTGATAGTAGTATTTTTATGTGTATCATTTAAATAATTTCAGTTAATGAAACACTGTAATTTCTAGCATTTTGAACAAATTTGATGGGATCTATCTTTTGTATTCATGACAGTATGTAAATCGACCAAGGATTGAAGAAATCAAGAAAAAGACTTGTTGAGGATGGGCATTACCAAATAATTCTACGACAATGAAAACAACTTCTTTGAAGATAAAGTAACTTGTGTAATTACCATTTCGGGATTAGTCGTTTTGAATTCTAACATCCATATTTGATTTATAAAACAGAGGTGAAAGCCAGAATGAGTGGGATGGTAATGAGAGCGCCACCAGTGTTAGGAGTGTGCCACTGCATGTGCATATGTCCCAGATAACTACTA